AAACTATGAAAAATAATTGATTATCTAATGACCATGAAGTAATAATTATATAACAGTTTGCAAGTTCAATGACTAAAATAGATTAATTCGTGCGTGACAATACAAAAAGTCCGTCAACTTGACCTACAATCGTGTCACACTCTGATGCGAGGAAGGTCTTCGGTCAAGAATTTTCTGTGAAAGGCTAATTTGTGATTAAGCCTACGTAATTACTAGTGAAAGTAATTTATTTAAATGTTTCTTATGAACTAACAGGGCGTACAGGACAAATAATGACGTGAGTAAGCCGTAAAACATAATAGTTTATTAAATTGCATGACACTTCGACTTGTAAATTCAAGTGTCCTTTTCTTAAACTGTCAAACACCAAGCGGTCACCGGTGACCGCGACCTATTGTTCTTTAATTGTGTCTATAAAACCGGTACTCGACGAGTTAAACATGAGGAAGACACGGAGATCACGTATTGGAGGCGAAAACAGACCAGCTAGGTTACAATTGGGATGATGACAGGGTATGAAAATTAAAAATATAATTACTCCGTAAGTTCGTTCCCATCATTACTGAATGCTACGTATGTCGTAGCCTTCTTAGGGAAAGTAAGGTAAGTAAGTTAGGTAATGAAAAAATATTAGACACGTATTTTTTTATTTTGTCGTATAATAAAACAATACTTAGATAAAACGAATCTAAGTTTAGGAGTGGGGGCTAAAACGTCATTTCTACGTATAAAATGTATATAGAAGTGACGTCACACATTCACGACATTTCAAATCAATATATCGTTGAAAGTATTCGTTTCTATAAGAAAATAAAAAATACGTGTGTAATGATTTAAAATAATCTACCAGACGGACATTAAAATAAAAATTAGGCATCTACCCTATTGTGAGTGGTCACGTACTACCGTGCAAAGCAATGACCAAGGTACACGCAGGTCTCCCTAGGGATGTGCTGTAACAGGCGTTGCAACGTGGAGGCTCCGGAGGAGGTCTACTCCGGTTCTCGAATGCGAAGTTTCGTTTGATTTGCGGCCGCAAACAACATTTTCGGAACCATAGACAATTTTCGTGAACTACAATGAACGAATGAAATGAAGAAAAATAAATAGGCAATAAAAAGGTTTAGATTCGAAATTAAAAATAAAATGTTATTTTAAGTAATTATATAACTAAAATCATAATGCCATGGCTTAGCACACATAATCATCAAGAAAATCATGAATAAGCTTTTATTATTAATGTTTAAGATGGAAAATCTTAAACAGGATAAAAACCTCCTTTCAAAGATTTATTATACGACCAATTTAAAAAGTTTAAGAATACTGGTATTGTCATTTATTGACATTTATTTATAAAATAATGACAACCAAATTTATTCGTATTACATTAGTACAGTCAGTTAAAAATTTTAAATGTCTACATCAGAATTTGAAGACAATAAATTATTTCATGTTATGATGATTAACAATATAATTATGTTTGAAAGAATTTATCGTATCTATAAATGTTGTTATATTAATAGACGTGAAAGAATAGCGAAAATATGTACTAGCAATACTTAAGTTTATTTTTCTAGCGGTATTATTCGTTTTAAAATAAAACATTACACATGAAACATTTATGTACAATACATAAGGTATTCAAATAAGTATTTGATTACCCTAAATGTTACTAACTCTTATAGATATACAAAATATATAGGTTCGTGTTAACAAACTATTTGAGCTGACTGTACATTGATTTTATATCGTCATTTAAGTGGTTTCTTTGGTGCCCTACGTGTTGCCCACACGAAGAAACCGTGATAAAACGAAGACTTGCAATTACTTTCATTGATTTTAATAAAATTTAACCCAAACGAAAATCAAACGATAACTATTTTGGTTTCGTCGAAATGACATTAAACGTCCGAAGAATAATCTGTCAAACTCGAATTTTCGTTCGTGCGGATTGTACAATTAGAGTAGGGTTCCGAAAATTTCGACGTCAAACAGTACATCTCATACTAATTTCTGGCTTGTTTCATTCCTTTTTCGTTCGTTTATATGTCATTGTGGTAGGTAATCTTTGAAGTTTCGTCCGAAACTTCGTTTTTCGTCGAATCAGAGTAGACCTCCAGGTCTCTTCAGAGGACCCGGTGCCCCTTACAGGTGCTGAGGATGGCCACCGGGGTAGTTTAGTGAGGTACGAATCCCACACTCCCCAGTTTTTCTCCCCAAAAAGCTAGGCGCCTTTTGAAGGTTTTCCCCAGTCATCGAATTCAAACTTTCGAAGTAAACTCGATCGCATTCTCCCGTCATTTATCCCGATTTTTTTACCACTAATGACGTAAGAGATCGCAATAGAGCGCACTTCAATCTTTCACATTGAAATTTACATAATATCCTATCAGGACTAGGTAATGGCAATTAGGCTTTGCATACGTACAAGAAAAACATCGTGATGAAACCTACAGTTATTTATTGTATATTGCAATAATTGGAATAACCCAATAGTACTAGTGTAGCATAAAGAAATAAATGTGTCACATCGCAATGCTCTGATTTAAAAAATATAACCATAGACTGTACATAATGTCCTATTAATAATTCATTAATAAAAACTATAAACGCATAAACATAATTTATTAACTTAATAAAATAATAAGTTTATTAATATTACAGTAGTTTTTTATAAACCAATTGAGGCTCTCATAAATAATCTAATAAGAAAAAAAAGACTGATAACCACATAGTTTCATCTTTATCTTTAAAATTATTCTTTTATTTTTTTTAAATTTTCTTCTATAGTGTATTAAAAACATTATTTTTAGTACATCTATGAAAGTTCTACTGAATAAGATATCGTTTTCTGACGGCCGCATATTTTCTCAATTCATAATATTGGATGTCTCAAGTCATAACTCATAATATTTACTTCGGCTACGATGACTGCTTACCTTACCATTAGGCCGGTTGTGAGCATTGATGCCATGGATAGACTTAGTTAAAAATGTACCTGGTCCGTGTAGGTAGATTCTTTTAATGACGATAAAGATTAAATGAAATCTTTCAGTTTTGTTTTATAAACTTAATAGCGTCAGTTAAATAGTTTTAATTTAAACCAGTCATTCAATGTTAATTGAAAATCTAGATTAAACTCATTGTAATTTTATGAAAATCTAGGTCTCGCTTAACCTTTAAGTGTGAGAGAGCTATGTTTCGGCACGAATGGCCAGTTCGACTGGAGTGATACCACAGCCTCACAAAAATATGACGTAAAACAACGCTTGCATTGTGTATCGTCGTGTTTTTTTTTTTGTTTATATGATGTGACCTCATACGGTAATATCATAAAAAATTACAATCTAGCTTTAATGCTAATAAGTAATTCAATTTTGTCTTAATTTGCTAGGAAAATAGTCTTAATTTTCGTCGTGTGAGTAAGGTTACTGGAGGCTACCTTACTACCTTCCAATTTCGCCCAATCCCCAAATCCGCCACAATTACCAAATTCCTAATCCCCAAAAGGCCAGTAATGCTCTTATAGCCTTTGGTGTTTCAAGTATCCATGGGCAGCGCTAATTGCTTAGCATAGGATGATCTGCCTGCTCGTTTACCGGCTTATCCCATAAAAAGTTACTTATATAAAAACTATGTGTACTGAATATAATATAATATAATATACATTGCCAATATTTTATCATTTATCATCATTCGAAATAAGATCTTTAATTTCCAAAATAGTCAATCTTTATTCAGACAAATAAAAAATTATAAATCACTGACTTCTGCTCGTTACTTCGCTCATGTTACTGTGATATAAAATCTGTGCTACACTTCATGCAGATTCATTAAATAATTCTCACTTGAAACAGTAACAAACCTACATACGTACATCCTCATGTTTTTTAATCATATCAGTTGCATATGAGAAATTCTCATCTTAACTTGGCTCCAGAATTCTCTATAGCAGAATGAAAACAGATGCATTAGGGTAAGTACCTATGATTTACCTTTATACTTTCAATGTACGACCTCGACGCTATACAACACAGTTTATTCCAAAACGCAAGGCTACAAATAATAGGGACAGAGGTGGAGGTTGATGACATTATGAAGATTACCGAGTATTAGGCTTAAATTATACAAAAATCCTTGAAAAACTAAGCAATGCGGTAGCTCAAATAAAAACAAACATTACCTTACTACCATGGTATGAATAAATAACTTATGTTTGCAAAGGAAGTATCGTTGCTAAAATTGATTTGATAACATCAGATGAAAAGGTGAAGGGCACAAAAAGTGCACATATCTTAATACTGTAGATAAATAAGAGGCAGTTCCTGTTACGTACTAATACATAATGTATCTGACATAAGAACATAAAATGTTAAGTCACGATTGAAATAATCCCTTCTCTTTTAATTAGTTAACTTCAATACTCTGTCATTGTTTTCTAAAGTATCATAAATGTATCAGTTAGTAGCTACAGTTGTCGAATAACCCAAAATTGAAAATGAGACATCAATCCTATCTACTAATTAAAGTATTTCATTATTCAATTACTAAAGATAAATAAATAAAGAAAAGACAGAAATAATACTCTAGAATAACTATTTATAACAGTTAAGTAATGGAAATATTTATGACACAACGACCACACACAATAAATAAGCCCATTCATATCTCTATAAGCACCTTTTGTCTCATCTCATTAACGCTTCATCCGTGTATAAAATTATTCGAATTAATCTGTCACTGTGATCTATAATTAGTTGCAAACATCAATTGGACCGTAACCATTTATCTTATCGATCCAGTAATTACGATAAATACACAAAGCCTCTTGTTTCGTTCAACGAACCGTTTAATCAAAAATAACTTCCAAGGTGTCTAATGTACTAAGCCAGACCTTAAAGATCATAATTTATTGCAAATATTCTTCATCAATAAACACTTAAGAAGCAAACATCACGATTATGGAAATAAAATGTCAATTAAAATAATTTACAACTTACCACAGACGTATCGGACTTCTTCACCTCTTTGATGCGCACGAAGCAGTAGATGAAACTCAAAACGTACAATGTCGCACTAACTGAGAACACACCGTATAAGCCAATCTTTCGCACCAATATTCCACTAAGAGCTGCTCCAACTGGCACACCTACAGAGTGAAACAGATTCACAATGCCTATCCTCAACGTCCTTTGTTCCTCCGTAGTTATATCTGCTATGTAACTAAACACTCCCATAAACATGGTAAACCAGCCCCCAGTCAATGCAGGAAATATAGCTTCAGTCACAGCCGCCACTTCCACGGGTAATTCATAGAAAAAATAAGTATTCACAATCAAGCCTATACTCGTCAAAAATTCGCCAATGATAGGTAACAGCATACATATTTTTCTCTGTCCCACTCTATCACTATATGCTCCAAGAAATATTAGGATTCCACATGGCAAGAATGACTGTAGCACAGTCTTCCAACCCGTTACTGATGCCACTAACGTCTGTACAGCTTCTTCTTCTGCAGTATAATTTGCTGTTTCTCTTCGAGTCAAAGCATCACAAATATGGTGATCGAATTGAAGGTTCACTCTACAAGCTTTTTCTAAATAAAGGTTTTGTGTTGCGAGCACAGACAAAACAGAAGGCATCACATAGCAAGCCAAAATAGGTTCCACAGTAATTAGAGAGATCATACGTCTTAATTTTTGAAAATGACTTAGTCCTTCCCAACTTTCTTCTTCCACTTTTTCATTTTTGTTACTTTCATGTTCTTTATCCAACTTTATGTTTGTCATATTATCGAATTCTTTAGTTTTACTAAAACGATTTTTAATTACATTAGTTCCATTTAAGTCACCACCATTAACATTAAGAGTTTTATCAGCAGTTTTGTTATTCTCCGCATTTTTGCTATCCACAGCCATGACTACGTCACGCGTATCTGAAACAAAAACATTCTTTATTATTAAATGTACTATCGTAATATTTACAATTGTAACACATTTTTATTGGACATTATATTCTTTAAATCTTTTGTTATTTTTCTCGTTTGTTATGATTGCTAAACGAATCACCGGACATAGTAATTGTTTCATGATTACCTACATACTTAACGTAATCGTCTCTAACTGAATCAATTTTACCTGACTAACAATGGTTTTATTATTCTGTTGCATCCTTTTCATTATAAAGTCATGGAGAACGGGACAATTTACAAGCACGTAAAGATATCTTTAGAACAAATTACTTTTGCGTAGAACTTTATCTTTGTTTACTAAATAAATTCTAACTATTGTAAACGTTGTAATGACAAAGGCTGATACGACACGAGTTCTCTTGTTGATTGAATAGTAAACATTTCACAATACAATTTAATTTTACGGTTCGCTACCGTGAATTTTATTACTAAGTTTTCCGGATTGCAATTCAGGCTTTATCGTAACGAAATTGCCCACAACACTATCAAGCGCAATGTTCATGATTTTTGTACATTTTACGATTGAACTTAAAAGATCGAAACTTAGCGAAAGAAAAGAAATCATAGACTATTTTTAGATGGCAAAATTCGAATTAGTAGTATAGTGGTCACGCGACGATATTAGATCCAACAAGTGAATCGTCGTACGAGTCTCAATTGACATCAATGCCTTTTGATAATACAATCAACACATTTCTTGTAAATATAAACCAACATTTTCTACGCTATACACAGTTTACAGTTCTGTTACCAATAATGTGTTGTTAATAAAATATGTGTCAATATTGTCTTAAAATTATAATATGAAAACAGCAGAAACGTGACATCGTCTTTTGAAACCTGATCCTCCATGTTTATATTCGAACATCAATGTATTGTCAGTCCACAAGCTATTCAACAATAGCCTAGTTTTTATATCAACGTCATTCAGGACACATCTGTGTTTATTTATGTAGATACTAGCTTCTGCCCGCGACTTCGTACGCGTAATCCCATTTTTTCCCGTCCCCGTTCGTGATTTTCAGTAAAAAGTAAAAAAAAGTATTGGTTAAAAAGTATCCTATGTCGGTCTCCTGGCTCTAAGCTACCTCCCTACCAATTTTCAGCCAAATCTATCCTGCCGTTCTTGAGTTATAAGTGGTGTAACTAACACGACTTTCTTTTATATATATAGATACTGCTTTTAAATCCAATTCCAGTAGTGTATAGTACGAGTCTTCGTCACAATACATTACACAATTGTGAATTTGAAGTCTGCGATACATCAGTAAATTAACTGGTATCTGTGATTCCGGTACATCCACAATGGGTGTAAAGTGTACACTTTATTTCATTGATGCAGCAAACAACAGAATCGCATTCAACCGTTGAATGCAGACACATTCAAGTTCTTTATACGTCTGGTTTGCAAATTTTTATTAAATAATATTATATTATTATCCGAGAGAAGATTAAAACTTAAATAACACATTTATATGTTTCGTTGCGTTTTTTGAAAAATGTAACTATAATTTATATTAACTACTGTAAAATCTTGATGATACGATGCGACTATGAAGAGCACTTGAATATTCTATTTTTATTATCTATTGCTAAATGACATTGCGTCTCTAAGGACCATGTAATAAGTATTGGTCCTTTAACCTTTTTTCGTTTACAAATGCTATAATGTAATTGCGGCATGACTGGCGTATGTTGACTGGAGTTTTTGTTGTGTACTCGACAATACACCGGGGCCGTGACAAAAAGTCGGCAGTGTCATCTCATTGACCTTGCCCAGCTGATTCCGTATTCACTATCAAGGTTGACTGGACCATGTATTTACAAGATTCAAGAGTAACATGCAGTAAAGGGAAAATCAATAAACAATTGTATTCATATGGGTAGCTCGTCTACATGTCTACCTCGATTGTTTGCACAATAGCAATCAATTTGTTGAGCTCAGATCCTGTTGCAAATATTATTTAATTTTTGCTATCACTATAAAGACCATTCAGATAATTGATAATTTTAAATACATACATAGGTAACCTCACGTCTGTCTAGAGACTATAGAATGCCAATTCCTACATACTTTGATAATCTTGAAAGCAGTAATTACCTCTTTGAGACTAATGAAAAGCCAATCAATGATATGGTTTCTGTATTTAAAAACACATGATATTATCTTAGCTAGCTCGTTTAAGGAACCACTAATAATACAATCTTTTGCTGTAACTAACAAATGGTTTATTCATTTCAATTCCGCAGAATGTCTTGTAATTGTCTAATAGTTTAACGGAAGTTAGTATGGCTGTTCAAGGAATCTTTGTACAATTTGTGATAGGCACGGCTTCCCACTCAATCGTTAGGGCAGAATTGTTGAGGTTAATTTAAACGACAATTGGTTTTACTTGGTCTTATACTCAGCTCCTGGATGTCTTTGTTTAGTCTTAAATGTTCTTAAGTAGTTCACTTAGTCATCCCTGTCTTAAAATTTGCATTGTTATCTGGTGCTAAGAATCGCAGTGTAGTTTTACGTGGTGTGATGTGTTTAAAATCTTATTATTTTTGTCTAGTCGTAGGTATATTAAATTTGGTTAAAAATGTTGTGTTAATTTTAAAAATAACAATTATTATTTGAAATTTTGAATTAATGAAAATTTTAATACAAAATAGTAGGACTTTTAATCCGAAGCTAATTTAACCTAACAAAGGTTAGACATAAAGTTATTTTATAATTTAATTTAAAATTTACAGTAAAATTTCATTTCTGAAACAAAGTAACATTTTCCATGGCTAAGAACTGAATTTACTAGAAAATAAACTTTATGATTAATTACCAATTGGGATGATGACAGGGTATGAAAATTAAAAACCTATTAGTCTGTAAGTTAGGTAATGAAAAAATATTAGACACGTATTTCTTTATTTTTTCGTATAAAACAATACTTAGATAAAACAAATCAAAGTTTAGGAGTGGGGGCTAAAACGTCATTTCTACTTATAAAATGTACATAGAAGTGACGTCACGCGACATTTCAAATCAACATATCGTCGAAAGTATTCGTTTCTGTATCTAATGATTTAAAATAATCTACCAGACGGACAATAAAATAAAAACTAGGCATCTTACGACAAAGAATAATTCTTTCAATTACTATTACATTATATTTATATACAGGTAATTACATTACCTACTTTATTTTTTTACTTGACTTTTATATTCATTTATTGAATTTATTAGCATTTGAAAGATTAAATGCCAATAAATTAAACAGTTTGCCATACAATAAAAATATATCAGTTTTTTTTATATAAACCTCTTTTTGCGCGTATCATTTCCTTGTGTGAATTTTTTATGGGGAATTCTTCATCGCCTCAAATATGTTGTAAAAAACGTAGCGTTGTCTTTTTTGTGTTTAAATGTAAATTAAGTAATAAAGTAATTAGCGACAAGAGACTAATTAGTCTTGTATTAAAAGTAGGTAATACGTAATGAGGTTGTATACGATTTACCTAAGTGATTTTTTTTCTTATTTCATGACGCATGTGTACTGAAGATTTCCTGGTTTTTGATTATCTTGTATGCTTAAGTTTTTGTTTGTATCTGTAAACAAAGTGTTGACTTGTGAATTTCTTGTATCGACACTTTCAAGTGATTATATGCAAATATGTATGGCTTATCTTGAGAAGATAAGTAATTCTATGCAAATAGGTAACGTTTATCTTCAGGAGTCGAAATGTTCAAAATATTAACTAAGAAACAAAAAAGAGTTTATATTTAGGTACCTATTGCAATTAAACATAGCGTATATTAAAAATGGATTTATTTTGTTATCTTCTTCTTGTTCTTGTCTAGCATTTCGGGATATATTTATTATGTGACTTATACTTGTATGTACATAAGTCCTGATAACCTTAACATAACATCACGCCTATTCTCCCCGTAGGGGTAGGTAGAGGTGCATATTATGCCATTGTACAATGTAATACTCACTTTTCAGTATTTATGTTATGAGTTTCCTGTAATAGGGGGCGAGCCTATGGGCATATACCGGGCACTAACATGGTGTTTTATGACCTATAATTTTTTGGATAAATAGATTATTCAACAATAAACGATTTATTCTAATGGAACCAGTAGTACCAGAGATTAGCGCATTCAAACAAACAAACAAATTCTTCAAGCTATTGGATATTATAATGATTAAAGTGTTTTTTTAAGGTTGTCTTGAAAATCATCGAATGACTTCTCCCGTCTGGATGAGGTGGGAGGAAGTGTCAGACTCTTACTAACTAAAAACCACCCCGTTCCTTCTTCTGCACTTCGAGCCGAAGCCCCGGTAGCCCGTTAGGTTCTCTTCGGCTCAATAGATTTATCAAGTCATGCAATATAGAAATTATGTACATAGATGGTCTTAACGCCTTGTATTCTCTTTATAAACCAATTCTTTTATAAACTACGATTAAGAAATCCGATTTCCCTCCTTTTTTAAGTCGGTTAATTATTATAAAACCTTCTCCTAAGTGTAACAAACACTTTTCTAAAAACCGCATCTAAATCGGTTCAGCCATACATGCAGGTCAAACTGAAAACCTCATTTTGTCCTTTTTGAAGTCGGTTAAAAATAAAGATATTTTTAAGTCACTTGTATGTATGTAATGCCGCATATAATGCCCCAAGTGTTGCAGGCATACATAGGCCACGGTAACGGCTTACCATCAGGTGGGCCGTGTGCACTTTTACCACCGTCGTGGAAAAAAAAATAGTCACTTATCAATAGATTGACTAGACCTACGCCCATTTTCTATAACCTACCTATCTGTAGATTTGTTACTGAAATAGAATTTTGACACATTTTGTATGGAGCTTATGTCAAAATTCTATCTCAGTAAGCAAATCTAAATAGGTTATAAAAATGGCCGATAGAAAACTCACCAAGCGTTACATGAGGTGTTGTTTTT